AGGCCATCTGCATGGTGGGACCTGAGTAGCTTCACGCTCCTTGCACCATCTCTCACTTGCTCTTGAGTTGGTTCATGGTCTCCCTCACTCCTGCTAACTGGTTCGTGTAACAGCTGCCTCTTATAAAAGAAAATGCAGGGGTCTCCCGCTGTGCAGTGCACAGCTCCCTGCCTGTTGGGTTTGAATGGCAACCGTGGCCAGAGTTTTTACTCTTGCCCATGGTATTCTGAGAATCTGTTAGCTCTTTATGGCCCTGGGTGGCCAGGTGGGTCAAGGACACACCATCCATTCCCAAAACAGCTGCTCCCAGACCAGATCTGGTGAACTCAGACCAGCGAACAGGCGTGGAGCAGCTAACAGGGGTGGTAATGTATGGGTCTGGGCCACAGTTAGCAGTCACATCCGTCCCAAGCTGGGTCCCACTATCCAGGCTGTGTTCTCAATCACACTGTTTCGTTAAGTGTCTAATCTAAATCAAGCCCTAACTTTAACCAGGTCTTCACTTGCGGATAATGTTTTGTTGAATTCCACCCCACCCCCAACCCCACCCCACTCACTGCTCTCTCTAGTTACTTGTTTGGCTGCAGTCTTTGAACCTGCGTGCCCGTACCCTGAATCTGCATTAGCAGCCTCTGGAGTGCACTGTGCAGTTGTGCAGGCTGAGCCCTGGGCACTTCCCCACGCTCCACCTCTATTATTATTTTCCATGTAGTACACCAGAGTTGGGCTGGAGCAATAGCATAGCAGTAGGGTGTTTTCTCGGCAGGCCGAGCTGGGTTTGATTCCTCCACGATTCCTCCGCCCCTCTCCGAGAGCCCAGCAAGTTACTGAGAGTATCTTGCCTGCACGGTAAAGCCTGGCAAGCTACCCGTGAAGTATTCGATATGCTAATAACAGTAACAATGAGTCTCACAAAGCCAGGGTGCTGCTAACAGGTTTGATATAAGAATACACCCAGAAAGACTTTCCCAGGACATGTTGCTGAGACATATTTCTGTCTTCTCTCCTCCTTTACACTAAACAACTAGAGCAATGAGTTCCGTTTACAATGGGTTCACTATATATTGTCTGTCAAGTTTCACAAGCTCAGTGAAAACATATTCCTTTAACTATCACTTTACACACACCTCCGTTGGCTTCTGCAGGTCAAGCATAAAAGGTTGGAGCAGGATTTTCTTTCCTGGGGACATCCTGCCATCTCACACTCCCCAAGCTACAGACCTCATGTGGTTAAGAGCATTTTTTCTTTTCTCAACGTGATGGGGTCCTTGGCAACTGCATTGTGCCAGCGCCTGTTCCATGACTGGGCCTTGACCACTGCTGTACCCGGGGGGCCTCCAGGTCCTCCCGTGTCAACTCCAGGATGGCAGGTGCCTGCCCAAGCCCACTCAAAGCCCTCCACAGCCGTAGGTTGGTTTCTCATCAGACCCCCAGAGACACAATCTGGGGGCCATCTGTCATTCCTTGCCCTCTCCTGTCACTCTCCCACAAAGCTCACGTGAACTCTTTTTAGCATTTTGTGCTGAACTACCTGAGGATGGACTCTGGGAGAGAGGATGGGAGGCAGAGGCAGTGGCCTGATCCTAAGTCTGGACACGAGGGTGTCAAGCCGACTCAAGGTCCGTGCACATAGCACCTGGGACAATCTGTCTCCTGCTCAGGTCCCCGGGTCCAGTTCCCAGGGCCTAAGATATGGGGCAGTCTCCCTCCTCCTATAGGGGTTTCGAGCAGGGAGTGTGGTAAAGCTTTGTCCCACTCAGAGCAGAGTCCCCCAGCCACATCTGCCGGGACTCTTCTTCTACCTCAGTCTGGACCATGACCTCGACCCTGCGCTCCACAGAGATGCCAGCATCAGGGCCTCCCTCCTCCCGGGGTCTGGCTCTAGCCCTGGCCTCCAACAGGGTGTCCTCCCCTCAGCCCTGTTCTCTCTCCCCTGAGTCCCTTCACTCTCCCCGGGTTCCTGGAGCCCCTGAGTTGAGTCAGAAGATCCCTGAAATGGTCAACCAGGCGACCCCTATCTGGGGATGCTGGGTAGGTCAGCTGGGCCATGCTGGAGGAGGGCAGCAGGCGAGCTGACCACAGCGGGAAGGGCGCTTATGGGCTGCAGGGGCAGAGGGCTCTGGGAGGAACTTCCAGCAGGCAGCCCCCTCTAGTGTCTAGAGGGAGGCTTGTGGGGGCAGGGTTTTACAGGTCTTGATGGCTGGCAGTTCCTGCTGGTCGCAGGCAGTCATAGGCAGTTACAAGTCCCAGTTAGTTGAACTGCTCTTTCAAGTTCTCTCTTGAACTCGTTTTCCTCTTTGTATCCCCTCACATTTTGCTAAGCACTGTCCTCTCATTGTTCATCGATTTGCTCAAGTGGGCACCAATAACATCTCCATTGTAAGACTTATTGTTACTGGTTTTGGAATATCGAATACACCACGGGGAGATTTCCAGGCTTTGCTGGGTATCCTGCCTACACGGATATGGGCCTTACGTCTCTTTGTCTGATGCTATAGTTTTTACTTCTTCCCGTATTTGAACCACACCCAAAGATACTCAGGGCTTATACCTGGCAGAGCTCAGAGGACTATATGGACTTCTGTGTGTGGATCAAACCTGGGTCAATGTATTGAAGGAAAACGTGACCATAGTTGTTTCACCAAGGCCCTCACAATCTACACCTATACCAGAGCCTGAACTAGGGATACAGGATATCATTCTTGACACATTTAGGGGAGCAATGAAATATAGTTCTTATTATTGGTGAACTATAATTTAAATTCTTTATTTTGCCCGGCAAGCTACCGAGAGTATTCGATATGCCAGACACAGTAACAACAAAGTCTCCAATGGAGACGTTACTGGGCCCGCTCGAGCAAATCGACGATCAACGGGAGGGCCTTTATTATTATTATTATGCAAAAGAAATAACATTTTATGATTTTAAAATACAAATACTTGTGCTGATCAGATGGCTCAAAGGGCTGGAGGCTACTCCTATATGCAGAGCCCCAAATTCAATCCCCTCCATGGCCTGGCCACAAGCACTGTCATGAGTGGCCCACCCAAGAAATTAATAAAGATGGAGTTCTAATACTGGTATTTATAGTACAGCTTAATTTTCTGTTAAGAATGGGAGCAGAGAGGTAGTACAGGACTTAAAGCACCTGCCTTGCATGTTTCAAACTCTGGCTTGAACCCCAACACCACATGGTCCCCTGAGCATGGTTCCCAGAATGACCCCCCAGAATCATGGTCCCCAGCAATCATCTGAGCACAGAACTGGGAATAGCTCCCAAGGTCCATGGACGTGGATCCCCCCCTGACCAACAGGTAAAAGGGTTGAACAGAAATTTTACCACAGTTTTATGAGTGGCCGTTACATACATGAGGAGATCCCAGCACTGGGTGGCCTCTGTGCAACTTGACATTGTAGTTGGGCCAAAGTTACCCTACCATGAAGTTTCAGTCCAAACTGACCTGAACAAACACAGCAATCTTCTGGTTGTTCTCAGCATGGCTACTGTAGTCCACTCGCCTGAGGAGGGTCCAGAGACCTCCCTTGTGACAAGTCTGTGTAGGGAGAGCCAATCCTCCAGGGACTGACGCACCCCATACAGTCTTAGAGCCACTGAATTAGGAGATTACAGTTATCCAGCTCCAAACACAAACCAAGTTACATAAATTTAGATACATCCTCACCGCCCCCCCCCCATTAGACCCATTTATCAGCTACAAATCAATTTTCAGGATTATGGTACTGAAGTTATCTCATTCTTTGAAAATTATGAGCAAACATGGAAACAAAAGTTAAGATTTGGGTAAATTCAGCTGTTAATAAGACCAAAAAGAAAGAAGACCTGAAGAAATGCTGCAAATACTAAGACAAAAATCTCTCATTCAGAAAATACAAACATATTAATTAAATTGTTATTATTAATTTCCCATTATAATAACCCAAAAACGTCTAATTAAAAATAAGTAAAGATTTTAAAATTGAAAATCTTAGTTCCTGAGTATGAGCAAGAATCATGAACAAGTAATCTTTCCCATTTGTTTTATTACAACAAAGTTTTTAGAGCTTATTCATAGTCATTGGATTTTTAAATTTTATTAAAACTCAAAATCCTTCCTACAGTAGTACAACTTTAAGGAAATGCACTAATTAAGAAATAGCTTCTTGGGCTGGAGTGATAGTACAGAGGGTAGGGCATTTACCTTGCACACAGCTGACCTGGGTTCAATTCCCAGCATCCCACATGGTCGCCCCCCTGAATCACCAGGAGTGATTCCTAAGTGCAAAGACAGGAGTAACCCCTGAGCATCAACAGGTGTGACCCAAAAAGCCAACATCCCCCCCCCCAAAAAAAAAACAACAAAAAAGAAAACAAACGGCTTCAGTTCAGTGCTGTTACCTAGGATACAGACATCAGTGTACTCTGAATAAATATACTTCAACACAATCTAACTACATAGCTCTGGAAAAACTACTGAACTGAATATATAAATGCCAATGAGAATATGGTCTAATGTTAAAGGTGTTAAGGCTTCTTAACAAACTGACTACAATAATAAACTGTAGATGCTTCTGGAGAAATACTTTAAGAAAAACAAGTTGTTCAAATATTCTGGTAGCAGAGTTAAACCTAATATCACAAAAAAATAACACTAATAAATTAAGCTTTTTTTTTATTGGGCCACACCAAATGCCTTACTGCTGTAATGCCTTCCCTGCTGTATTATCTTTCTGGTCTTAATAATTATTATTTTGGGGTGTTCTTGGGCTGCACCCAGTGATGCTCAGGGGTTAGTGCTGACTCTGCATACTGGTATCATTCCTGTCAGTGCTCGGGGAACTATAGTGTACAAAGAAACAAATCCAGGTTGGCTGTGTGTAAGGTAAGTGCCCTACCTGCTGTGCTAAGTATAATTTTAAACAAATTTTTATCAGTGTGTACAGATATGAGATTTTGCAAAGTTCTCACAAAGAGTCTATAAATCTGAACTCACTAAAAAAATAGGACGAATTGAACACAACACTGAATATAATTTTTATTTCATTTGATTGTTCTAGAATGTAATGGCTTCAAAGCAAACTCTGTATTATTTCAGTCACAACTAAATAGTTTACATGATTCTGAAGAACAGTCTTAGCTTTAGTATCTATTCACCCTACACAGACACATCTAGAGAAATCCATGTACATATAGATTAATTTTCAATAACAGTATTTTCAACAAGTCTAGAATTTAAGTTTATATTCTCACACACTTCAAATTATACATCTGATGCAGGGAATACCCTAGGAGATAAAATCATGCAATGACACTAAGAAGTAAATCCAAAAGTTGATATTTCAATGCAAAATAAAGTGCACTGAATAGCAAAATAAAACAAGTGCCCATGTTATCATGAAGTAATAACTTATTTATTGTCTTAAACCAAATAGGTCCATGTTGCTTATTGTCTTCTGAGTCAGCTCTTTATAAACTTGAACTCCTTGTGTAATAAAACCCAAGATATTACAGTTCTTCTTGGCAGTTAATAAGAGATGACAGAGTGCTCAAGGTAAGAATGTTCTTGACAATTCAGAGTCAGAAAGCACTTCTTCTTGAGCAGAAGGTTCATAATCTCCTGCATTTTCAGCTAATTCAATATCTAACTCGTCATTACTTTCTGCACTGTAGTCAACTTCTTCAAGGAATCGTGGTTCATCTTCATCCAAAACGTAAGTTGTTGGGCTGTAGCCAAAGTACACAGAACATACAACACAATTAGATTTTAAAGATCGAATAGAACATAATTCGACCACACTGTATTAACGTGTTATATTAGTTGTTTAGATTAAGTTTGGATTAATTTTAAATACGTCATATAAATGAACAGGGTATTTGTAATAGTTGAAAGAAACCTCCTACAACTGATAAGGGATGAAATGAAATATTTTAATTATATAACAAGTTTCAACACATATCACTCAATTATAAAGCTACAAAAATTGGTAAATCTCGAAGCAAACACTCCTAAAATTCATATGGAACAATAAGCACCCACGAATAGCTAAAGCAATTCTTGGAAAAAAGAAAATGGAGGAATCAGCCTCCCCAACCTCCCCAACCTCAAACTCTACTACAAAGCAGTAATAATCAACACAGCATGGTATTGGAACAAAGGCAGAGCCGCAGACCAATGGAACAGGGTTGAATATACTGACATCTCCCCCCAAACATATCATATAATCTTTGATAAGGGGGCAAGAAATGTGAAATGGAGCAAGGAAAGCCTCTTTAACAAATTGTGCTGGCAAAACCGGACAGCTACATGAAAAAAATGGGCTCAGATCTGTACACCTAACACCATGTACAAAAGTAAGATCAAAATGGATTAAAGGCCTCAACATCAGACTGGAATCCATAAGGTACATTGAAGACAAGGTTGGCAATACCCTCCACAACATTGAAGCGAACTGTATCTTCAAAGATGACACACCACTGGGAAAACAAGTGAAAACAGATAGACAAATGGGACTATCTTAAACTAAGAAGCTTCTGCACCTCAAAAGAAACAGTGACCAAAATACAAAGACAGTCTACAGAATGGGAGACGATATTAGCCAAATACCCGTCCAACAAGGGGTTGATATCAAAGGTATACAAAGCACTGGTTGAATTCCACAAGAAGAAAACATCCAACCCCATCAAAAAATAGGGTGATGAACAGAGACTTTCTCAAAGAAGAAATCTGAATGGCTAAAAGTTACATGAGAAAATACTCTACATCACTAATCATCAGGGAGATGTAGATCTAAACAACGAGATACCACCTCACACCACAGAGACTGGCCCACATTCGAAAGAACAAAAGCAACCAGTGTTGGCGCGGATAAGGCAAGAAAGGGACCCTCCTTCGCTGCTGGTGGGAATGCCGACTGGTTTGGAAAACAGTATGGACAATTCTCAAAAAACTAGAAATTGAGCTCCCGTTTGACCCAGCAATACTACTCTTGGGAATATATCCCGGAGAGGCAAAAAAGTACAGTCGAAATGATATCTGCACTTCTATGTTCATTGCTGCACTGTTCACAAAAGCCAAAATTTAGAAAAAGCTGAGTGCCCGAGAACAGATAAAACAGATAGTTAAATATTGGAGTACATGGAGCTTAGGTTTATCAGGTTGCACCCATCACAGTGCTCCCGAGTCACTCCCATTATTTTGTCTGTCTGTAACCACTTCTATGCTCTTTTCCCCAACCACTTTGTAAGGTCTCATCCTTCTAGGACACTGAACTAGTACTGTAAGTTAATATTGCCTTTCTCCTCTCCTTATGTCTTTTGAATAGTTTGCTTTAATGCAATGTCCTTTTTGTATAGATACAGGAAGACAATTAATTAATATGCTTTGTAACTTAGGAATTGATTGGCTTTGAATATTATTCACTCCTGGGCATCTGCCTTCTCAACTTAAGCCTCAGTTGCCCTCACTTCCTAGCACCCCAAAAGCAGGGTCCCGACATGGGACTGGATGGAACCAGGGCAAGCTGGTAAGTTATGTGCTACCCTGACATCGCGAGGGGCCAGGCCAAGGTGCCACGATCCTTAACTATAGGTTAAGAGTTTGATCATAGGCAAATGCTGTCATGATCCAAAAGCAATGACGAGACTACGACCCTGCTGCTAAGAATAGGAAAGCTATCTGGCCTGAGCACTGCAGTCTGAGATCGAGATGGCCCTAGGAGAGCAATTCTTTAAGCTCAAGATATTTCTTACTGTATCCATACAAAATGATTACTATTATGTATGCTTATATGTTGGCTGGACAAGGAGAGGACAAACACGTCCTAGAAGCAGTTTTCCTATGTGTCCTGACTAGCCTGGATGAGACTGAACCTTTCTCCCCTCCAAACTGCCTTCAGTAAATGATTTCAGTATATTGAGGCAGTTTCTCTTATCTCACAGGAACCTAGCTGGTAAGCAGATCTCAGGTGCTAAGCCAGGCCTGATCTTGGGGATGTAAGTACCTGGCTCCAGGTAGGCTGATATTTGAGATGTAGGCTCCAAGCTCTAGCAGACTCATCTTTGATGTGTTAATCCAAATAGCTTGTAAAGGTGAGGCCAAGATTACTGGCATGTGGATATAAAGAAACAATGTGGATGTAAAGAAACAATGTGGATGTAAAGAAACAATGTAGATGTAAATAAACAATGTATGTTTTGCTTCAATGTTCTTTCTATAACTCCTTTTGATGACATCACTATATTGCGCCCTGTAGAGGTACTATGATCTATATAAGGGAGATTTCAGGACTCTCTGGGGGAACACGTGCATCAGAGAACCTGGGAAGATGGGGCTGAGGAGGGAAGCTGAGAGAACAAAGGTGCACGTGCTTGAGGATTCCTGGGGCCTCCATGACATACATCTCTTCCATGTAATAAACTGCTGCTAAGACCAACCAGCCTGGCCCTCGTTCCTTCCTTCGTCTGACCATCGCCATCGACCTCCCTGGAGTGGGGAAACGGCCTGACTGCCGGCCTTTTATTTTTTGTGTGTTTACACAGTTAAAGATAAAACAGATAGTTAAAACTTTGGTACAACTACACAATGGAATACTATGCAGCTGTTAGAAAAGATGAAGTCATGAAATTTACATACAAGTGGTTCTACATGGAAAGTATCATGCTAAGTAAAATGAATCAGAAAGAGAGGGGCAGACATAGAAAGACTGCACTTATCTGGGGAATATAAAGTAATAGAATGGGAGTCGAACACCCAAGAATAGTTGAGATAAGTACCAGGAGGTCTGCTCCACGCCTTCGAAGCCAGCAGCACATACTGGAGGAAAAGACAGCTCAGATAGAGAAAGGAACACCAAGTAAAGGATATTTGGAGTACTCGCTAGGAATGGGAGAGGAGTGCTGAAAGTAGACTATAGACTGAACACAATGGCCACTCAATACCTCTATTGCAAACTACAACACCCTAAAGGAAAGAGAGAGCACAAGGGAATGCCCTGCCACAGAGGCAGGGTGGGATGGGGGGGATGGGGTGTGGGGGTGGGAGGGCTACTAGGATCATTGTTGGTAGACAATGGGCACTGGTAGAGGGATGGATACTTGATCACTGTATAACTGAAACCCAAGCACTAAAGTTTGTAAGTCTACAACTGTACCTCATGGTGTTTCACTAAAAAAAAAAAAATTGCTAAATCTTTCACCTTATTGCTCTAAAATATACCATTAATTTATAAATTATCAATTAATTTTTGATGAATGGAAATTATTTGACTTTTTGGTGAGAATTATGGTTATATATGTATACAAGCACATGTACATATGTGTATAATTACATTGATTTGCACCTAAAATTATAAAATCCATTTAGTCAATGTTATCTCAATAACAAAATGTATATTTTAGAAAAATATTTGAAAGTCCTATTTTAATAACTGCATATCAAGTACTGGGAAATTATAACAAGCTTTATAAGGTTCCTCCAATAATGCTTGGAGACAACTTACTTTAAGTCTATAAAGTAGACTATTAATTGCTATCAAAGTCCACAGAATGTCATATGGAGGTGGCAAAGGGGTTATCTGCACTGTGATGGTAGGCATGGAATGTTATTAACATTGTACCTCTAAAAAAGAGAAACAATTACACTTTTGTGAAAGTATGTCTTAAAAAAACAAACACAAAAAAACTGCCCATATACCCATTCCCAAATTGCATCAGTCAAAAATAATTGAAAAGCAAGTAAACAATATGTACCTCCACCAACACGACCTTACTTTCCTGTAAAATTCATAGTAAGATATTTGCTTAAAAATCACTAAAAGCTTCTAAAGGTTTCATGAGGTAGCTCATCTGGAATTAAAAGAACCTTTTTACTAGGGTCTATAAAATATATAACCTTTCCTCTTAAAAAAATCTAAGTATTCTCCCCACTTGGAGATTTTATGCACACATACCTACATCTTATGACCAAAACTAATTTCATAAACAATATGTTTTAAAAGGAAATTCCACAGCTGATACAATTAAAGCTATATAATTAGACAATAAAAAGGAAAACAATCTCACAATCTCTTTAAATTAGCAGACAAGATGTCATTCATTAGGCAACTAAAAATGCAAAAATTATTGTAATAGATTATTAAATTTAGTTCAGTTATCTAGAAGAAAGGAAAAAGTCAAGTCAATGAATTATGTTTTTAATTTTCTGAGAAAGCAAAACTCATCTAGTAAGCATGTTACCCCCCAGAAGTTTTTTTTTCAGTAAAGATAGAAATGTATTGCAAAGCTACCTCCATGTTACATAACAAATTTCCTCTTAAAAGCTCTGATACTGTGCTGTAATAGCAGCACTGAAGTATCATGCTGGTGGGGGACTGAAGGGTTTTCGGAGACTGTGATATTCCTAACACTCATGGGAACAATTCCACACCATTCTATCAAGCATCTAAAATATTTATGAAGAACCTACTGGTTTTTAGAAAAAACATGAACAGAATCCATCCTTTGCCTTTTGAAATGACTGTGTAGCATCACCATTGTAAGCTCAACTACAGGCCTTGCTTTAGAAACCCATACATAAAAAAATCAAAAGCCTCAGTTAATCTCACACCCACACATGCCTGAACAGACCAGGGTAAGTCAGAGGGGGGCAGGTTAGCCTGATGCCTGCCCAAGCAGAGCCCCCGGGAGCTGCTTGCTCCACAATCCAAAATCATTGCTATATTTCCAGC